TCTAGTCACAGTAGGACTTGCAGCATATTTGGGTATCAAGATAAACTTTATAACACTGAAAGCTTTGAACTATCCTATTGTGTATTATCAGATACATTCTGGCATCATACAGCAATTATACTGGCTACTCACCCACTTCTGAGCCCAATTCTAGGTGCTGATTTTGACTTTTAAAGCCCTACGTGGCTTGGGACCAAGTCTTCTCCCATTCGTTCTGCCTGGGAATTAAGATCAGAGGGAGGGGCCCCTCCTGACTGTCCCACCAATCAAAAAAGCTAGTTGGGTCAGTACGTAAAGGAGGGCCTTTTCAGTGGCAGCCCCATGATTGTGGAACAGCCTCCCCAGGGAAGTGTGCCTGGCCCCCCTTCTGACCTTTAGGAGTCAGTTGAAGAGGGTTTTATTTAGGAACATATTTGTCCTGAAGTGACTTTAAATTTTGGTTTTTATGTTTTTAATGTATTTTATATGCTGTGAGCCGCCTAAAAAAGAAAGGCGTCCAGGAAATGTTTTAAATAAATAAATATATCCTTTAATGAGGAGATTAAAGGTAGATTGCACAATTAAAGACAATGTAACGGGAAATGCACAACAAACAAAGCAATAAAAACTGGATTATAAAATTAGAGAACGCACTAGGAAAAAACTGTATAATACAAAAGCAGGATAACAAAACTAAAATACAATGCAGTGGAAACAGTATAATGTACAAAAAGCAATTGCTATGAGAAGTTTCTAAAATTTCACAGTCAACAATCTTGTTCCCTTTATTAAAATATACCCTGGATAGGGGTTATATTCTCTCAAAGGAGCAGATTCACAGTCTGGGGGTGCCGTTAGATCCAGGTTTACATTGGATGATCAGATTTAGGCTTCAATTTCTTTCCAGGCTGTGACGCTTCTTCCTTGCTGATACAACCAGCCATTTGTTTTGCCTTGTCCTCAGTCTGCTCTCTGAATTATGCTGAGAATACTGTTTTGTCTTTTTGATTTGCTGTAGTTCAAATTAAACCACAATACTTGCAATCCTGTTAATACCGCAAGTACCCTGGATCACAAAATTATGACAAAGTTCCTCATCAGGCACTGTGAAGGGGGGAGTAGCACCTTAGTTGCATGGGAGTTGGATGCTGACCTCTGCAAGGATTGCCCCATTCGAATGGTCGGGAGTCTCTTCACAAACCTTCCTGATGGTTTCTTGTAATCTGAGCATGTAAAAGTTTTTAATATGTTTTTTCATTATTTTATTCTTTTTTCATTCTAATTTCCAAGAACTTTCAGGCACGCTGAATAATGCACTTCCAGTCTGCTTTCGGTGCACTTTAGTGATCGTTTGCAAGTGGACTTTGCCATTTCACATAGTAAAATCCAGTTGCAAAGTGCATTGAAAGCGGATTGAAAGGGCATTAATCAGTGTGTGTGAAAACACCTAAAAATGTTTTTAAAGGTTATTTGGAGTGCTGTTTACAATATCTGGGTCAGTAAAATAATTGGTGTATGCTGAGTGTGATATCAGTGTGTTTGATTCTGATTATTAATCAACTTTTACTTTTTCAGAAAAACTTGCAGGAAGAGATTGGAACGTTGGAGTCACGTGTAGAATCCATCCAGAGAGTATTATCAGACCTCAAAGTCCAGCTCTATGCAAAGTTTGGCAACAATATAAATCTCGAGGCAGAAGATAATTAAATACCCTGGAAATAGTATCTGGTTTATTTTCTTTTGTACTACTTGTTCCCCTGTTAGAATAATGTTTTAAGAGACCACCTATTTCTGTTTTAAAGAAAATTACACTTGGTTATCCATTCCATGTAGTTAATGAACAGGTCTTATTTTGCATACCTATAATTATTTATGTTAAGACAATAAATCCAAATACTGCTGGTGCATCATCAAGGTTGGGTGCTTAAAAGTTTATTGAAATAATAATAATGACCATCAAACATCTTATGCCTATTGTCTTTAAGGCATGGCTTAAAATTAGCATATGGAGTAAAAACAGGGCGGAGTCATGAATCCCTTCTAAGATACCAGCCCTGTTCCCATGTTACAGTGCTATACATCCTGCATGCACATGTGTGTACATCTGTTTGTAAGATAGAGCCAATTCATGTTCACTTCACAAGTGAAACTGGGGACTAGCGCTTGGTTTAAATCACTGTTTACTTCACAAATGGAACTGGGGACTAGCGCTTGGTTTAAATCACACCTTCAGCTGTATGGATGGTGAACATAACATGAGAATTAGTCAATGCATGTATTTTTTAAAAAATCAAGTCTACACTATTTATTTATTTATTTATTTGTTTATATCCTGCCTTTCACCCCAGTGAAGACCCGGAATGGCTTAAATAATGTTTCTCTCCTCCGTTTTATTGTCACAACAACCCTGTGAGGTAGGGTAGGCTGAGAGTGTATGAGTGGCCCAAGGGCATACCGCAGGCTTCCGTGGCATGAGTGGGGATTTGAACCTGAGGCTTCCACATCCTAGTCCAACACTTTAACCACTAAGAACATAAGAGAAGCCAATGTTGGGTCAGGCCAATGGCCCATCCAGTCCAGTACTCTTTCACACAGTGGCCAAAAATACCAGGTGCCATCAGGAGGTCCAGCAGTGGGGCCAGGACACTAGAAGCCATCCCAGTGTTGCCCCCCACCCCCCAAGCACCAAGAATACAGAGCATCATTTGCCCCAAACTGAGACTTCCTATCTATACTTATGGCTAATAGCCACTGAATAATAATAGCCACTGAATAATAATAGCCACTACACCACACGGCCTCTCTATACACTGTATGTGTGTCCGCTGTAACTTCTGAACAGGGCTATCAACTGATAATGATCTGTCTTCCTTTTTTGACAACTGCTGTTTTATTAAGCATCATTGATTTAGTGGTGGTAGACACTGCAAGGTAGAAGCTCCACAAACTGAGTTGTGAGCAAGGAAGTCCTCAGCTTAAGTCTCTTTTTCTGTCATGAACTCACTATATGAATATTTTCTCTCAGCTCTTTTGCAGTGCAGGGATTAACAGTGTTGGCCAGAGCAAGCTGGGGGCAGAAGGGTCATTTGGCCTCAAGTTTAGACACTTGGGGGCGTGGCGTTGGCGCCGAGTGTGATGGACGCTTAAAGAAGCAGCTCCGCACTCCCCCCACATCTGAACCATAAAATCACAGTTTTATTTTATTTTCTTACCTCCACTACATTAATATTGAATCAAATGATATGGCAACATCTTCTATAGGCAGTTGCAAAGACATTCAGAAATTCTTCACGAAGCCTGCTTTATCCAAAACTACCGAGGGAGAAACAGGCAAGGTAGACAATATGGCGACAGGGACCGCTTCTCTGCTCCCGCTTTCTTCGGCGCACCAAGAAAACGACTTGGCGGTAAGAATGGAGTCAAGGATCCTAGAGACCATGGCTGCACTCATTAGCCCCTTAGCTGAGCAGTTTGCAGAATTTAAATTAAATCTTAACCAAATAAGTCAAACAGCGGAAGCCGCGAAAGAGCTAAGTTTAGCAACTCAGGAAAATGTGCGTTCTCTCTGGGCAGAAAATGGCTGCCTTAAAGAAAAAGTCGTGGTGGTAGAGGCATCTTTGTGCCGGCCCAATCTTCAACTTCAGGGCTTTGTAGAGAAAATAAATACGAATAAAGATCTAGTGATTTTCATGGTGGAGTGGCTGGGAACTGAGCTAAAACTAGAAGAAGGGATCGTCCCCACAATTACTGCTGTGTTTCGGCTGGGGCCAGTGGACAATCCTAAACGCTGGGGCCCCAGAGACATTCTAGTGACTATTCCCGACCAGAGAACTCAGAAAAAAATCCTGGACGTGGCTAGAACCCGTGGATTTTTAAGTTATCAAAACACCCAGATCTTAGTGTTCCCAGACCTGCCGCCTGATGTGTTAGACAAGCGGAGGGAACTGAAAGTGATTACAGAAGCACTTATACAAGCCCAAGTACGTTACAAGTGGATAAATCTAACTAAACTCCAGGTAACCTACAAGGACAGACGATATTTTGTGGAAGACATCGAGGCTGGTAACAAACTTATGGTATTTGAATATACCTATCCCGATGGACCCAGACAGACCCTCAAGAAAAAGAGGAATGCTGTTCTCTCCAACCAAAGAAGATAAAATGGTTATCAAACAAGTTTAGATCCCTGGGTTCTCCCAAAGCTGACATATGAATACCAAATATATGATTTAGTTATTTAGTTAAAAAACAAAAGCATTGAAGGTTAATATATGGTTCGGGGGGGGGAGGGGGGAATTTCTCTGTTTGCTCTCTTAATTAGTACAGTCCTTTATTCCTGGGGAGACCTCCATTAACCAACATAGTTCCTTTAAAACTTAATTGTTACACTAATAATAAATAGTCTTGGCACTACTTAAATTATTTGTATTTGGTCTTATAATAATCAATTCTTCCTGCTCTGAATTGCACAATCATTAATCTAATTTTCATATTGCCAATTAATTTTTATTAATATTATTGCCTTTAGGCACATGCTTTGTAACTAAGGAATTGATACTGTTTATACATTGCTCAATAATTAACTGCAAATCTAACCTATCTTTTAATTGTTACGCTGATAGTTTGTAGTCTCAGAAATAATTACATTACTTGCATGTGATTTTTCAATAATTCTTTCTTACTTGATTAGCATATCCAACACTTTATACCAATTTCTTATTGCCAACTAAGCCTTTGATTGTTATCTTCTGGCATACCTTTCTGAACTAGAGAATTGTTAGACTGGTTACACATTGATTAACGGATACATAATCAATTTTAAACTCCTGGTTCATTATTGATTTTTTTCCCCTTTTGATTCTTCCTTTTTTAAATAACCTAGATTACAGATTAACTGATCCTCAATTGTTTATTGCATTAACTTTGTGATTTATTGTTCTGAATCCTTATAGCCTGTTATCTTACTCGCAGTGTCATTATGTAGTATCACACAAAATTGTGAATTATAGGAGACATACTAATCTGAATACAAATATTTAAAGGATATCTCACATAACACAAGCTTTCATACCGCTACTATCAAACCTACGCACTTCATATTTCTGCTCTGAAGTAACTATTGATCTTAAGAATGATATTCTTGCTGTCCTTTCACATTTCTAACTTTATAGGTAGCTGCTCTGTTTATCATTCATAACTCTTCTAGGACTTGCCTATCAAATTTCACAACACACCTATTAAAACAGAATTCATAATCAACACGCTATAGTACTGTTTCTCTAATCTACCGGCCTTCGATGGGGCACCGCTGGTGCCGGTGTCGAGGGTTAGGAGTTTGGGAGTGCTCCTGGACTCCTCCTTATCGATGGAGGCCCAGGTGGCAGCCTCTGCCAAGTCAGCCTTTTACCATCTCCGGCTGGCACGGCAGTTGGTTCCTTTCCTTGACCGCAAAGACTTGGCCACAGTGATCCATGCGACAGTCACCTCAAGCCTGGACTACTGTAACGCTCTCTACATGGGGCTGCCTTTGTTGCAAATCCAGAAGTTGCAGCTGGTGCAGAATGTGGTGGCCAGGCTGTTGATGGGTCTCACTAGATGGGACCACATCCAGCCTGTGCTGAAGGCGCTGCACTGGCTGCCTATAGCATACCGGATTCGCTTCAAAGTGCTGGTTCTTACCTATAAAGCCCTTGATGGCCAGGGTCCAGCGTACCTAAGGGATCGCCTTTCCCCCAAGAGCACTACGGTCTGGGGCGCAGCATCTACTGGTGGTTCCAGGCCCCAAGGACATCAAGCTGGCCGCAACCAGGGCCAGGCCTTTCTCGGCGGCGGCTCCTGTCTGGTAGAACAAGCTCCCAGAGGAGATACGGGCCTTGTGGGACTTGGCACAGTTCCGCAGGGCCTGTAGGGCGGAGCTCTTCCGCCAGGCCTTTGCATAGGAGCCGCCGCCGCCATTGTGCCACCACTGAGTTGCCATCTATGACGGTGGATTAGATCGATAAGTGAACTGGCCCTGGGAAGATGCCTAGGTGACCAAGAACCTATGCTGCCAGGCTAGGTGATAAAAGAATCCCATCTTGGAGAGATAAATTAATACCTAGAGCACCACACTTTATTTATGGATTGTTTTATACTGTTTTAACTGTTTGTTATGGCATTTGCCGCTGTTGGAAGCCGCCCTGAGCCCATCTGGGAAGGGCGGGATACAAATCTAATAAAATAAATAAATAAATACTTTGCCATCTCCAGTTTTCAACCTTCTTAATAGAATCAACATGGAAAGTTTTGCCCCAAAATGTGAGAGGGCTGAATAATCTCATAAAACAGAAGAGGATTTTGACAAATATAGCCAAAACAAACTACATTTCTCTTTCAAGATTGGTTCCTCCCAGGATGTGACTGTAAAGTAGCTGATATATGGAGAAAGGCTCAGGTGACTCGTTTAATTGACCTTGCATCTACAACCGGACTTCTTCCGAAGGCAAAATTAGAAGAACGTACACATTGCACCATCCTGTGGTTTTTCTACCTTCAGTTAAACCACGCACTGAAAGATCTGAAAATACTACATATTTTAAAAGCTCCTCTAACCCCTTTTGAACAGCTTCTGACCTTTAGACTCAAACCTCAAAGGTTTAATATCCAAGATTTATGACATCTTAGGCTTGACGGAGACAAAATGGCAACAAGACTGCAACAAACAGTCTAATGAACTTCGATGGGATAAGATATGGATGTCAAGATTAATGACTTCTCCTGTTGCATCCTCCAGATGTACAAGATCATTACTAGGTGGTATCTAACGCCTGAAAGGCTCGCCAAGATAACATCAGATCACTCTCCTACATGCTGGAAACACTGTGGTGAGCT